TGCCAAATATCCCTCTGTATCAAACTGCTCTGATTACCCTACCTATTATAATAGTCATTCCCACTTTGCCTCTGACCATTAGGGGTGAGTTTGGCCTTTGCCAGTCAGGTATTCTCTTATTCCCTTTATAACTGGGGGGGGGGGGGTGCCCAGGGACACCTGGTGGCTCAGTTGATTGTCTAACTTTTGCTTTCGGCTCAGGTCCTGATCTCATGGGTTGTGGGGTTGAGCCCCACGTCAGCAGGAGTCTGCTTGCATATTCTTTCCCTCTTGCCTCTTCCCCAGGTCATGCATGTGGGTGCGTTCTCTCTCTCTCAAGTAAATAAATAACTCTTAAAGAAATTAGGGAGCCCATTTCAATGCAGTCTCTCCCTTTAGAGAACAGTTGTTTCACTGTTTCAAAGGAGTTTGTGTTCCTTTCACAAATTTCTTTTTTAATCTTTTTGTTGAGTTATAATTCACATACCATAAGTTTACCCATTTAAAGTGTACAATTTAGTTTTAGTTAGGTTTTTAGTATAGTCACAGATATGTACAATCTTCACAATCTTTTTTATTTTTAAAGATTTTATTCATGATAGACACACACACACACGGAGGCAGAGACATAGACAGAGGGAGAAGCAGGCTACCCACTGGAGCCTGACGTGGGACTCGAACACAGGACTCCAGGACCACAACCTGAGCCAAAGGCAGATGCTTAACCACTGAGCCACCCTGGTGCCCTAATCTTCACAATCATTAGCTTTAGAACATTTTCATCATGTCAAGAAAAAAACCTTTATCTTTAATTATCATCCTTCTATCTCCCCCTGTCCCAACCCCAGCCCTGAACAGCCACTAATCTACTTTCCATAGATTAACCTTAGATTTTTGTATGAATGGAATCACATAGTATGTGGTCTTTTGTGTCTTAATATAATGTTTTCAAGGCTCATCCATATTATAACATGTTTTAGAACTTCGTTTTTTTAAATGACAAAATAATATTTCATCGTATTGATGTACTACATTTTGTTTATTCATTCATCCATTGAAGGACATCTGTGTTTCCAGTTTGGAGCTATTATGAATAAGGCTACTATAAATATTCATATGCTGCTTTTGGTGTGAATAGAAGTCTTCATTTCTGTGAGATAAATGTCTGGGAGTGCAGTTTGTGGATTATATAGAAGTTGCATATTTAGTTTTTACAATACTGCCAAACTGTCTTTTAGAGCTCACTAGTAATGTATGAATGATTTAGTTTCTCCACATCTTCACCAGCATTTGGTGTTTTCTTATTTAGTCATTTTAACAGGTGTGTAGTGATATCTCATTGTGGTTTTAATTTGTACTTTCCTAATGGCTAATGGTGTTGAACATCCTCCTTGTGTTTATTTGCCGTCAGTATATCTTCCTTTGTGGTGAAATGTTTGTCTTTTATCCATTTTCTGATGGGATTTTTTAAACTATTGAATTTTAGATTTGTTGACATATTCTAGATGTTTGTCCTTTGTTAGATATGTGGTTTTTAAAATGTTTTCTTGCAGTCCGTAGCGTAGCTTTTCATCCTCTTAACAAGATCTCTCACACAGCAAAATTTTTAACTTTTAATGAAGTCCATATCATCAGTTTTTTCTTTTATGCATCACACTTTTGGTGTCAAGTGTAAGAACTCATGTCTGAATGAAACACACTTAAACATTTTCTCTGTAAGGTATATCAAAGACTTCTTGCACTTAGGGACATTAAATAGCGCTTCAGGACTGTGCTTGGGGGCCATCTGAAATAGCAAAATCACCAACAAAAGATACAGAAATGTGAACAACGTGGCATGAAGTAGATCGTGAAAAGGACACTTTTTAATATGAGAGCTAAAATAAGAGGGCAGTGTGTGGCCTTGTTCAACCCAGCTGTGAATTCTCTTCTCTCCTGGAGAGTTGATGTATGTCGGTTTTCTGGTAGCCTAGAGTGGAAGAAAGCTATGCCACTTAGCACTGAGGAGTTGGCATTTATAAGATCACTGCTGCTTATTTTCTTCTTGCCTGTCTACATCCATTTTTCACCTTTTTTTGGCCTTAGTACATTAGTATCTAAGAACTACATCACCTGAGCCCCCTAGCTCTCTGGCTTCTGGTTGGGTATGTCAATGGGAAGCACTGTAACACTGGACCCTTTCCTCTCCTAAGGGGTTGGGAGTGGTAAGGCTTCTTGCTGCTGCTGGTTCCTGGCTGCCCCACTATTGGAGGTTCCCTTAACCCTGCCCATATATCTTTGTAAATTGTTCCTTTACTGAACTCCCCTCAGTGGAATCCTTTGAGGGTCTGTTTCCTGCTGGGACCTGATTGATCCAAGTACTTATTCCTCCTGGTTTCAGAACAGCACCCAGGTCTCAGCTATGCCTGGTATTCTCCATGCCAGAAATCCTATTTTATCTTTCGTCAGAAAATTATCCTCTGGACTTCTGCCAGGGTGAGGGAAGGCAGTTGTCTAGCGCTGTGGAGTGAGGCAGGGCAGGGCAGAGAGAGGGTGTAGGGAGCCAGTTGTCTTAGCTCTCAAATAGTCTTCCTTATTCAGCAACCTCCCACCTCCTGCCTTTACTACCAGACCCAAAAGCTCTAGGTATTGAGATCCTGAACCTTTTGAGAAATCTACTATGTAAATCAGGCTGTTTTCCCCACTGCCAGTTTAGGGTTCTTAGTGTCTTCAGTCAGTTAGGATCTATCTTTCATTTATCTCATTTCCAAAATGTTCCTGATGTCTTGGCTCTGTTTCCACTATGACCTGGCTGGTTTATGCTTTTGTGTGTAGGATAAAACAAACAAAAAATACAATAAGAAAAACAAAATAAGTCACCAAGTTTTTTTTTTTTAAGTCACCAAGTTTTAATGTGCTTTTTAGAGTAAATGAAATTAGATGGATAGATTTGGTATATCTTAATCTGGAAGACTCCATAAATATTTTTCAAAATTAAGCTTATGATGAGCATACTTGGAGTATAGGTATTTGCTGTCACCTAGTAAGGCCTTAACAGAGAATTAGATCTGACATCCTGTTAGGAGTATTGAAGAGGGTGACTAAGATCAATGTGTGGAGAGAAGGCTGTGTTACTTCTGCATATAGGTGGGTGGAGTGAATGCTCATAGTCCTAATGCAATTCTGTGTCCCTGCAACCCAGGAGAAAATGTGCAATTAGAACCCCCAATTCCTATACTGCAGACTTGCATTTTCCAGAATTCTTTAGAATTGTAGTCTGATGATAACCTCTATGATAAAAGGATCAGATTTGTTTGAGAAATGAGTATATCCTCCCTACCCCACCCACCTCACATTCCCAAATATGTTTCATATAAAAGGCTAAGGAGAATCCTGTGATTAAATAATGTGATTGGCTTTGCTGCTCCCTGTTTTGTCCAATGTTATTTTACCATGTAAGTTTTTGTATTCCATAATACCTAACATAATATAAAGTAATGCTCTAAAATAGAGATTGGAAAGAATTCCATAATTTTAGTCCAGAATAGTTTTATAGAAGTTATAGTTAAATGAAAATGAACATGGTCATGAAACATAAAAATTAAAAGAAATCTCAAAAAAAAAAAAAAAAAAGGAAAAAAAGAAAAAAAAAAGGGCAGTCCCGGCCCTTCGGCCTAGGGCGGGATCCTGGGGACCCGGGATCCGGTCCCGGTCAGGCTCCCTGTACAGAGCCTTCTTCTCCCTCTGCCTGTGTCTCTGCCCCTCTGTGTCTCTCATGAATAAATAAGTAAAATCTTTAAAAAAAATTAAAAAGAAATCTCAACAAAACACTCCTTATAAATTCCTTATGAACTTTCCATGATAAATTATGTCTAAAATGTGCCTTTTGGCACATTAAATGAGTTGACTTGCATTTGAAGGTTAGCTAAACTCTTGGTAGCCACCTTCCAAAAATGATATTTGGCTTTAGAATAATTGATATCAGGCATCTGCTTTGATTTGAAGGTTTATGTCCCCCCAAATTCATATGTTAAAATCCTAACCCCTGAAGTTTATTAGGAGCTACGTAGGATCTTTGGGAGGTGATTAGTTCATGAAGGTGGATTCCTTATGAATGAGATTAGTGCACTTATAAAAGAGGCCCCAGAGAGATCCGTTGCCCCTTCCACCATGTGAGGTTATAGTTGTCAGTGAGGAAGCGGACATGAAATCTGTCAGTGCTATGACTTTGGACTTCCTAAACTTGAAATGTTATTAGTAAACCAGCTAGTTTATGGTATTTTGTTTTAGCAGCCCAAAGAAGATTAACATCCTTTCTTGCCACAATTAGAACTCAGCAGTTATTAATTAAAGCCATTGCTAGATCTTCACAATAAAATCTTTTTTTTCCTGCATAAAATAAATGGTTATGTTTCTCTATTAGAGGGTTAAAGGAAAAGAAACATCCAACTTTGATGCATGCATGCAAAGCATTTTGGGTTTCATTTTTTCTACTAGCTTTTGCCCACATGTTTACATAAAAAAAAAAACAGGTCCTATATATTTAATTTCTTAAGTTAATGTTTATAAAGCTGTCTCTCAGTTAACTGGGCATGTGGATTTTGTCTTTAGTATTTGATGTTATTTTGTACAAACATTTACAGAAGGAGACAGTGTTCACATACTTATTAAAGTACTGTATTTTGTATAGACATCCACCAATTATTTGGCATATGAATTTCTAATACTCATTTTTATAAAACAGTGATGTAAACTTTGTCAAACATTGTCTTTTAAGATTTTGGAGAACTTCCTTGGAGTATAATATGAAAATGAGATTAAAGACTATAAATTTTTCTGGTTCTAATATTTTATTGAAATTCTTAAACTTATCAAGAACAACATCCTCAGACAAGATCCTAATTTAAATTCCCGAAAACATAAATTTCATTAACAAGATTATTATGGCTCTTCTAGAAAAGAGAATCCAACAACATGGAAGAAATTCTGTTATATTTTTACTTTCCTTACAAGAGGCTGGGTTTTGAAGGAAAGGATGAATATCAATTATAGAAATAATAGGAATTATGGCCATAGAATTGGTGTTTCATCCCTGAATGCACTTTATCCCTGAGGTCTTTATGGTCTTCAAGAATTGATTTATGGAAACGTTTTTGTGCACCAGTTTTTGAAAAAGAGTTCTTAAGCCCCAGCAGGTCAGTCTGAGGCTTGGCCACTCCAGCTCTAGGAATCCAACCCAGAATAGGTCTTGTTTCCTCATTTTCTGTGTTCAAGGACGACTGTTCTTCTGGCTTACTTAAAAAATGTTCTAAATCAAAAGCTCCCAAGTCTCGTTTACTTTCTAAAATACTAGGCTTACTAAGGCTAAGAGAGTTTTGACACATAGTATACTGGTCACCTATGACACATTTAAATCGCTCATATGGAATGTAATGGTTCGGGTTGCAGTAAGGTGTATGTTGGGGTTTTAATGCCAGCTGTCTCCAGTACAAATCTTCTATCTTTTTAGTATCTGTGATTTTTGGAAACGTTTTTATGTCACAAGTGTTATTCAGATCTTTTGTTGGATAACAAGGTGGGGATGCATAGGTAGATAGCAAGCTTTGTTCTTGCTTAATCTTGTCTTCAATTTCCTGCTTTTTATGGGTGACACCTGCCAGTGTGTTATCACAAAGTGCCATCATTTCTGTAGAACTGGGTACAAAGGTATGAAAAGTACACAAAACTCTAGGGGTACAATCTGGACAGGAGGGCTGTCTTTGCTGGACAATAGCCTCTAGAGGACGTCGGTTCTGAATCAGTCGAGCAGTTCGTCCTTCCAAGGGCCTGGAAGGTTTTAAGACAGGATGGAATTTTTCTTGCTGTAGTGGTGGGATAAAAAGGAGAAAATCAGTTAATAAATCTGGCATTGCAAGTTTATTGCTACAAATGGCAGGTTAAATTCATACCCATTTTCACTGAGGAAACACAGGATGGGTGTAGGAGTGCATACTGCAATGTTTGTTTGTTTATAGACCTTGACATTTGTGCTGTAATAAACACGTTTTTCTCTTTGACTGGCTTTTGCTAATATGGAAAGGGGATAGATATTTTTACTGTCTATAGAAATATTCCTCTATATAGGAACTCTTTGCTTTAAAACTTTCAGAGATAAAAAAAATCTCTGAAGCAAAACTGTCATCCCCAATGGATGATGTTAATGGTTATGTGCAGTTGCTTAAATGTCATGAAAGTCTTTTTTATTCGGCCAACCAAGGGGTTCTTAAACCTTGGTTGAATCAGAGTCAGCTTCGGAGAAAATGACATTCTTAAGCTTGATCCTTCGCGATTGTGATTCAGAGGTTTTGCAATGGAACTCATGAATCTGCTTTTTTAACAAGCATCTCAGATGGTGCTGAGGCCACAGATGTGCTATGCTTAGAGACTGGTCTGTGGGGAGCTTGTCATATATGTGTTTTTTGAGATGTTTGACAAATATTGTGAATCCTGCCTGGTAACTGCAAAAGTAATAAGTCTATTTAAAAGGTTATTAATAGATATATGTCTGGAGAGGGGGTCAGGAGGAAGAGGGAGGAGTTGAGCATATGGAAACTTTCTGGGATGGCAGTAATATTCAATAATTCCATAGGTGGTTGGCTTACAAAAGTGTGTGCATTTGTCAAAACTCATTGAATGTATACTTATATTTGTGTCATTCCATTGGGTATGTATTTTGCCTTAAAAGAAAAACTGCAACAAATTGAACTGTTCGATGCTATGCACGCCTAATGTTTAAGGCTGAAGTATCCCGTTGTCAGCAATTTACTCTGAAATGCGTGAAACAGAATAAAGTATTGATGGATGGTTGGAGGGATGGAAAAATGGATAGATTATGTGATAAAAGAAGTATACCAAAAGGCTAATGGTAGAATCTAGGTGGTTAGTCTATGGATGTTAATTGCAAAATTATTTCAACCTTCCATATGTTTGAAAATTTTTATGACAATATGTTGAAGAAAAACTAAAAAAGAATGGGTGGATGGTAAGGATGGAATTGATAGCAGAGATAATACAAATGAGAATGGTGAGAAAATCATAACTGTAGTTTGGATTTAGGAAATAAAATGGACTTAGGAGTGTCTTCTTGGATCCTAATTTGCTCAGGCTTGGAGGAATTAACATCTGTATGAATATGTTTTAACCTTTAGCTAACAAGTTTGAGTAGATACTATAAAGAAAAAAAGAAACCTCAGCTCTCTGAAATACTATGTTAAGTTTGTCACAAACAAAAGTCTAGGGTGTATCATATCCTACTTTACAGTATCCTTTTATGCAAGAAGCAGTTTTTAGTATCCTTATTTCATTCTACTATAAGAAAATATTTAATCGTATTACCACTAAAACATGCCTTCCCAGAGTCTGTTATTTGTGTTTTAGAGACCAGCAAGATTCACTAAAACTTACTTTTAAATCATTTTAGGCTAGTGAAGCTTGCAAATTCCAAAGATAAAGAGAAGATCCTTAAAGCAGCAAGAGACAAGAAGTCCCTGACTTTCATGGGGAGGAATATTAGGGTAACAGCAGACCTCTCCACAGAGACCTGGCAGGCCAGAAAGGGCTGGCAGGATATATTCAGGGTCCTAAATGAGAAGAACATGCAACCAAGAATACTCTATCCAGCAAGGCTCTCATTCAAAATGGAAGGAGAGATAAAGAGCTTCCAAGACAGGCAGGAACTGAAAGAATATGTGACCTCCAAACCAGCTCTGCAAGAAATTTTAAGGGGGACTCTTAAAACTCCCCTTTAAGAAGAAGTTCAGTGGAACAATCCACAAAAACAAGGACTAAATAGATATCATGATGACACTAAACTCATATCTGTCAATAGTAACTCTGAACGTGAATGGGCTTAATGACCCCATCAAAAGGCGCAGGGTTTCAGACTGGATAAAAAAGCAGGACCCACCTATTTGCTGTCTACAAGAGACTCATTTTAGACAGAAGGACACCTACAACCTGAAAATAAAAGGTTGGAGAACCATTTACCATTCAAATGGTTCTCAAAATATACCCTAAAAACTACAGAACACTTCTGAAAGAAATTGAGGAAGACACAAAGAGATGGAAAAATATTCCATGCTCATGGATTGGCAGAATTAATATTGTGAAAATGTCAATGTTACCCAGGGCAATTTACACGTATAATGCAATCCCTATCAAAATACCATGGACTTTCTTCAGAGACTTAGAACAAATTATTTTAAGATCTGTGTGGAATCAGAAAAGACCCCAAACAGCCAGGGGAATTTTAAAAAAGAAAACCATATCTGGGGGCATCACAATGCCAGATTTCAGGTTGTACTACAAAGCTGTGGTCATCAAGACAGTGTGGTACTGGCACAAAAACAGACATATAGATCAATGGAACAGAACAGAGAACCCAGAAGTGGACCCTGAACTTTATGGTCAACTAATATACGATAAAGGAGGAAAGACGATCCACTGGAAGAAAGACACTCTCTTCAATAAATGGTGCTGGGAAAATTGGACATCCACATGCAGAAGAATGAAACTGGACCACTCTCTTGCACCATACACAAAGATAAACTCAAAATAGATGAAAGATCTAAATGTGAGACAAGATTCCATCAAAATCCCAGAGGAGAACTCAGGCAACACCCTTTTTGAACTTGGCCACAGTAACCGGAGAAGGACAAACAGTGTATGTTCTCATTCATTTGGGGAATATGAATAATAGTGAAAGGGAATATAAGGGAAGGGAGAAGAAATGTGTGAGAAATATCAGAAAGGGAGAAAGAACATAAAGACTTCTAACTCTGGGAAATGAACTAGGGGTGGTGGAGGGGGAGGAGGGCGGGGGGTGGGGGTGAATGGGTGACGGGCACTGAGGGGGACACTTGACGGGATGAGCACTGGGTGTTATTCTGTATGTTGGTAAATTGAACACCAATAAAAATTAATTTATAAAAAAATAAATCATTTTAGGCATGTTTTATCTTGTTATTAATAAAAATTCGTTGATTTATTTGCAGAATAATTTTGTTTATAATATACTTGACAGGTATACTTTGTATTACTGTACATGTACTTTTTTGTAAAAATGGTAAAGCTGCTTCTTGAGGGGCTGGACCCTACAGGATCAAATCTGTGGAAATCTGGACAGCTACTGAACATGCTCGACAATATAAGTATATGTATAGTGTTTTCTAGTCTTAGAGAATATTTGCTGCAAGTGAAACAAAGGAAAAACCCTTCAGTAAGTGATAAAGTACAGTCTGTGGAACTACTTAAGGTACTATGATATATATATATTTTTTATCACCTTGGGAAATACTGAAGCCAATGTAAAATAAATGTGTTCAGTCTAAAAAGAGTTCATACTGAAATATCCTACAGTCACTTTTTATGGGTCTTTCTACAGTTCATATCTTTGAAAATACTAGTTTTGTTTTTAAAGACTTTGTAGTTTTATAGGATAAAATCTAGGCCCTAAATAATACGTATACTGTTACATTATTTTATTTCATGTTTGAAGTGAGCCAACAGAAGGGCTTGATCATTTCTTTCAGTGAAAGAATGACATAACCAATTAAGAAATCTGTATTGATATTTGTAGAGAATTTATTGGCTTTCCACTGTAATTCAGTCAACTCTCAATTATGGTAGATATCAGGAAGAAGACTTTATCTCTTCAAAAGCAGTGAAAATGTACAAGATATACAAATCTATAAAGATTTCATAGTTTGTTAAGAATCTCATTAAACTAAAGCATTTCTAAAATGACTCCTTTGTAAATTTTAGAAGAGTAGCCTAGTAGAAAATCTGTTCAAAAAAACCCACAAAACACCAGTGCTGTGAATAGGAAAAGAAACCCTGCCTGTTCTTTGAAATAGTGGACAAGTGTATTCAAACTGATTAAAATCAATTCAGAATTAACTTCTAAGATAAGTTAAATTTTCCCTTTGCTAACCTGGTCACCAGTTCTCATGAAGCAAAGAAAAAGTGGGCAAAGCAAGAAGGAGCCTAACACCTGGATACCTTCCCCCTAAATAACTGAGAGTTAACTGCAATTACTTACAGGCTCTGGGTCAAATCCTATCTGTCCAGTTAACTCTGCTACCTCCTTTTCATGGTAATCATCCAGTTCAAGGGGGTTCATGGGCCCCAGACCTTAATGGAAACATCACATCTTGTTACTTTGTTAGAGCAAATGATGGTTGACACTTAAATGATCTTTTATAGAAAAACTCTTACCCATTTCCCTTTGTAATATAATTAGAATGAATAAACTGAAAACAAATTTTACCTCCCAGTTTCTTACTAGGAGAAGCTTAAGACCCACCCTTATTTGTATTAGTACTTAGATTAAAGAAACAGGGAAAAACACTAGAAGATGCAAGCTTGTAACAGCATTTGCCAAGTATTCCAATTTAGTTCTTTTTATTCATATTAAAGTAAACTCATACCTGTAAAATCATGAGTGTATGAAGGGATCCAGTGGGACCTTTCAAGATTTCTTTGTATGTTGGCTTCTTTTAGAGAGCTAATAGGGTCCCACGAATTTAAAGAAGTGTTAGGAGCGAAGGTTTTAGGAGGTTTTGGGTAGAATACAGGCTTATTTTTCTCAACACATTCAGGAAACTAGAACATAAACACAAGAGTTTGTTGTTAATGTCATCCAGTAGAGTAAGGGCTGATTCACTATGTCAGCAGGAAGAAGGGTAAAGGAAATTCCAAGCTGAAGTCAGATACTATTTTTTTCTTCATTAATTACTAGTATTCTGCAACTTAGCCATATTTAAACACAATATTTTATCAAAGAAATGGTGAGGTCTTTTCTAAAGTTTTTTTGCTTTAGCAGGCACTTTGTCTATAGTGTACATTGGAGAAATGTCCCTCGGAATACTCTACCTCCAACAACATTTTATTAAAGATATAAAGGGCTCTAAGGTACTCTAAGGAGGAAGAGTTTGATTCCATCTGAACAGGGAAGTAGGGCTCAGAACAGAGAAGAAGGGAGGAGACAAGAGGCCATATTATGTCATACTACAGAAATAGGCCTTTAGGACATGCAGAGATGGGGAGGCCAAAGGAACAGTAAGAGCAGGGATATGGATGGCAGTGGAAAGTATGGAATTAACTTTCTTGAACACTATGCACTTGTCCTGACGGTCAGGCCCACCCTTAACATTTGCAGGTCCTGGGGCTAGAGTATAGCGGGAGAACCCACCTTCCATTAGTCTAACTAGTTTAATTTATGAATCAAGGAAATAAGCTGTTAAAGGAATAAAATGTGTTTCATCCTCCTACTTCGATGAAATACCTTCATGAAAACTTGGAAGACCAGGTTCAAATTTAGACTTCTTAGACTATCCTAATTGTGTATTGGGATATGGTAGTTCACAAAGAGCTAGTTGCTGGCCCTTGGCCTCAACATTCCTTACTGCTTTCTTCCTACCCCCAATTCCATCTCAAATGATGAAGTGTCTTGGATATGAGGGTACCCTGGTCCTCAGTTTCAAGATCTATTGTACCTATTACCTCTGCTTCCAGCAAACAGCCATCACTTGGCCATCCCTTTGGCCTAAAGGTAGCTTGGAAGCAGTGTCAACCTCTAGGAGGATGGACCTAGAAAGATACCCTACAAGGGCCTGAGTACTGGGTTCAGAGCCATTTTGTAAAGATTTTCTGCAGTTCGACATCAGGCTGGAGTTGGGAGACTGGGGAGCATGGGTTCTAGATGGACATATCCTCTTGTTCCCATAAACATCCTGCGCCATGGGGAGGGGCACAGCCAGAGGAAGCTAGAGCTGAGCCCTAAGGCATGGGGCCTTCAAATGTTTCTGGATCTCAGGGTGATGCTGAATATAGCAACCCTATGAAGTTTGAATGATCCCCATTTTCCATATATAGGATAGTCATGGTAAAAGACCCTTGACAGAAGACTGTTTTGTGTATTAAGTAACCACCTCTATAAACCTTTAACAAATACGTGGCTTGCTTATTCTTTGTTCTTATCTTTTTTTTTTTAAGATTTTATTTATTCATGATAGTCACACAGAGAGAGAGGCAGAGACACAGGCAGAGGGAGAAGCAGGCTCCATGCAGGGAGCCCGATGTGGGACTTGATCCCGGGTCTCCAGGATCGCGCCCTGGGCCAAAGGCAGGCGCCAAACCGCTGTGCCACCCAGGGATCCCTGTTCTCCTTATCTTGATCATGATTTGCAAAGATAGTTTAGAAATAAGGACTTTTTTTTCCCCCCAAATACTGTTTCAACGGGCTGGGTTAATCCTGTGTCTTAATCTAGCTTAAATAACAGCAGTGACCTACTGAAATGCAGAGGAAGAAAATGGGAGATTTGAGATTTTACTGTAACCTCTGGTGTCTTGAGAAGAATTTAAAGAGTCAGGAATATTTGAGAGTGGAGAGCTGGCTAATTTTCAGTATGTTAAGGTAATGCTATTCTAAGAGGACAATGAGAGAGGGGCTGCTGGTGATCATCCACTCAATAGGAATTCATTGGTTAAATGTACTATTCACAGGGTGACATTTCTGTCTGATATGCAATAGAAGTACAAAAGTAGGAAGGAATTCCGGTTCCTGAGATGTTACTATTTAGGCAGACACTCCAATCTACAGTGATATTAGTTGTTTTAAATTTGAAATACATTTTCAGAGTAGTACCATATAAATTATAATTATACTCCTAGGTAGCCCATAAAATCTATATAACTCATAAGTTGCTTAGTAAACGTTTACTGAATAACTATTACATGCAAAGTATGTGCAAATTTCTAAGGGCCCCGTGATAACTACCAAAACTCTGTAAGTTGCCACAAAATAACAGAGATTAATATTGTTGTAACACATTAAAAAAAAAACCAAGAAATTAAATATAGTTTTTTTTTGTTTTTGTTTTTAGTCTTGAATGATGGGGCTTAATCAGGTTTAATAGGAAAACAAGAACAGGTTTATTTTGGAGACCCCTTTGCCCTTTTGGAGAGCTTAGTACTAGGAACACTGGTTCCTTAGTGGGTCGTGTTTCACTTAATTCTTTTGTATCAGCATCATTTTTACATTAAGAAGTTGCGATTAAGAATTTTTTTTCATTTACATATGAAACATAGCACAAAGGAGAGAGGGTGTAAATAAGAAATGAAAGACTGGCAGAGATATTTTCCTTTGGTATCTAGTTAGGTCTTGGGAAGAAAGAGTTCAAGGGAGAAGAGGATGCACAATGGGAGGAAAGGCTGCCTGAGGTGGAGGAGGAAAAGTGGAGGGGTGGGTGAGACCATAAATGGGGAAACATGCAGGGTAGAGCAGAAACCCACCAGTTTATTTCTCATTCTGGATACGTTAGTTGTTGCTGGAGATGAGCAGGTAGGGGGTGGGGTCCAGGGTGCTGGTGGTGAAGGAGAGGTGAACTGTGGGCAGCCAATTATTTGATAAGATGTTACATTTCTAAAGAAGGTACCTGTGTCCTTGCCAAATTCATTGTGGTTAGTTGAGGGTGAATGTGGATTATGGATTATGGATGCTTTTGTGCAGAGACAGAACTGTTTTAGGAATGAGGAATGTATCTCTAGGAGGGGGATGGAGACTGTACATTAGAAATATGGCAGATAGTTCAAGAAAGAAACCACACTCCTCTGTAAGGATGATATGAGTGGATGCTCTTTCCAAGGGAACCCAAAGTTCTTTCCAAATATTTACAGTTAAGGAAAATTGGATAGTAGGTTCAGTTAGGCTCTGAAAATGGTTTGTTAAAATACTCTAGTCAAAGGTAGAGGTTTATGGCATTTAACCTCTGTGGTTATTATAGCTCATCTTACTCAAAAGATGATTACAAGGGGCACCTGAGTGGCTCAGTTGTTTAAGCATCTGACTCTTTTTTTTTAATTATCAAAAAATTTTTAAGCATCTGATTCTTGATTTTGGCTCAGGTCATGAGATTGAGCCCCTGTGTTGGGCTCTGAGTTGAGCCTGCTCAAGGTTGTCTCTTTTTCTCTGCAAACCCCCGACTCCCTCACACTCTTTCAAAAAATAAGATGATTTAGATTTTATCCTAAAGAGTATTTTCATATTGCAAAAACTAAGAGTTGAGTTCTTGAGAAATAGAATAAAAATCTTAAATAGTTCCAAAAATATATCTCCTGGCTATTAGACAGAAAACCTTTTTAAAAATCTTTGGCCACTTGGGGAGGTAATGACAAAAACAGCCAAAGTATTTTAATCAATTTGTTTGCCAATTATAAAAGGAAAAGGAATGTTCTCATTGGCTTGGTAATGACTAGAAATAGCCAGTGAGAAGAGGTTCCTGAGGGGACCTGTGTATATTTGTAGTTAATATACTATGAATTATAAGAATAGAGTTGGGGGATACATAGTGAAATGCAGCCCTCCACCTTCTTTCAGTGTGGGAACCTTTTTTGTTATAGTTGTGGAAATGTTACATAACTGCCAAAGTATGTGAAATCAACTAAGAAAACAAAAACATGTGAATTATGGTCAAAACCTCAAGATTTTTTTAACCAGATAGAAAATAAAACAATCCATCTTTGGGGTTTTTATAAATGTATAGTGTGAAAACATTTTAAAACTTTGTTTTAAAAACGCAGTTTAAAAGATACTTACATCATAATATACACCCTGACCTGGCCAAGTCAAGGCTTTCTTTTTTGAATCCATTGGAAAATCAAGCAGTTCATATCTGTAAGGATTACCTGAAATTTTCAGGAAAAGCACTGTTATCTGTAATATGCAAGAATAGTTTTCTATGAATAGAGTTCTGGGGTGCAAGAAATAGAAATAAGATGCTAGCCCTGTACTGCACCTCTCTGATTAATGAAAGGGATTCTTAGGTAAGTCATCACTTTTAAATTTAAATTTTCCTGGATCCTCTTTCTGGTCTCTGAAGGCTTGGCAAATACATTTCTATACTACTTGATTTGGGCTTTCTCTGACTAAATATCAAGAAATGGAATTAACACTTGCTTACCAAAAAGGCACTGAAGGAGAACATTTTAAAGATTATACCGTCTTAGGTATTAGTGGTAGTTTGATAAGCTTTATCAAACAGAGCATGGCCTCCTTGGGCCCTATAATAAGTTCCACATTAAATAATGCTCTGTACATCCATCCTTATATGTAATAAGAACAAAGGCTGGCATTTATTGAACATTTACCATATGCCAGTGCTGTACTATGTATTTTATATACATCATCACATTACAATGAGGAAAGTACTACAATTTCCACTTTAATGAATGAAACTGAAGCACAAAGAAAGTAAGCAATTTGCCCAAGATCACACAGCTAGTTAAGTGGAATAATTCAAACTCAGGCAATCTGGTACTAGACCTGCACTCTTAATCCACATACTATCAATTTCTGTTAAAGAAGAGTTAAAGTAAGTGTAAAAAAAAAAGAGTAGAAATACTAATGCAGTAGTAGTTTTTGGAAAGATATTTTTTAAGGGTTATTACAACAAACTTATCCTTTTAAAGTCCTCTAAGAGGGACTTTGCTATGGTTCACGGTGAGTGGTAGAGTGAGAATCCTACCCATGCAGTCTGATTCCATAGTTCTTAAACACTCCATGATTATGTCTCTCAAATTGTTACTGTTTCCTAATAAGGTACTGAAGCTGATGTTGATGATGGCAAACATTTGGGTCCAAATATTTATATACCGAGAAACTGCATTTATAGGACAGTTCTTGGGTCTTACCTACCTCACAGCTTAAATTCATTCAACAGATGGTTTTCTCTACCTACCATGCACCTGTTCTGTCACCTTCAGTTACCTTTTCTCTAGGACCTTCAATCTGTCTCCATAGGTTTCTCCTCTGTTTTAAGGTATCTAGTGTGGGAGAGTCTTGATGATTAGTGTATGGCCTAATAAAACACATCTGGACAGACTCCAAGGCGTGCATCTGAAGAAGATGCCCCAAGTGTTAAGGGGACCTAAACAAACTGTTTCCATTATCTTCTGAGTCTTATTTCAATGACAGTCTTTCAATTTCATCACAACTACTATACCCATATCTAGACCCTGATGCTCTGAACCAAATATCATTGTTGTGCTGATCACCTGAGCTAGGGTGAAATCTTTAAAAGCTAAACCATAAGAGAGAACAGGAAGGAAATGAAAATAGACAATACAGGAAGAATAAACATAATTCTACAATACCTGGTTTCTGATTCTACCATGGGAGAGACTCTATATAAAGAAGAAAAGCTAAGTGCACATGCAGAGAATCTGATTTACTTAGTCTGTGGTTAGGGCCCTGGATGATTCTAAAGTGTGGCCACAGTTAAGAACAACTTTCATAATCTACTGGTGGGTCACACTTTTGTGACTTGAGTTCTCTGCCCTACTTTCTTTAATTTTATTATTCAATAAAATTCAAATATGAGAAGAATCAATACTGTTCTGATATCAAATCACATTTTACCTCTTGTTTTCAAAATCGTTGTATCATAAGCCTTTGTTGGCACAGTGGGAGGAAATGGCTGTTGGTTTCGGGCTTTAATGCCGGTGTAGAGATCCTTAGGTGAGGTAAAGGTCGGGAACATGGCACCACGTGAGATGTGTGTGTGGTACGGGTGTTCAATTGGATATGAAGAACAGATTTCTCTGAGATTTAGTTGAGCAAACAAAAGAGAATAGAAAGAAGTGCAATTGAAAAAAATTAATCATCAGGTATTTATTGGGATTCTTCTTTGTGGCAGGTACTGTTCTAATCCCTGAGGATATGACAGTGAAACAAAGTCCCTATACTCATGGAGTTAGCTTTCTGGTAGAATGTATTCCGTTAAACGTGAAATTTTCTTAACTTTGCTAGACAAATTAATTTTTAAAATAAATCATGCTGAATTCTTTATCTGTGAATAATTTTCACAACATGAAATGTATAGTTTTTAGAATGCTATAGGAAGAATTTCTAGTTGCTTTCACTTCCTACCTCTTATTTTAAGAGGATCCCTGTACTTTATTTTATGGGATCATTTTGGGCATTCAGTACGCAAAGTGATCTCTAACCATCTTGCATTGAACTTTTCAACCCAGGCCATTTGTTTCTTTTAAGCAGTCAACAAAATATACTGCCCGTTTATGTACACAGTACTCTTTGGAAATCAAAAAGCCAAAAATAGCTAGTATGCTAGCTGATGGAAAAAAAAAAGGTTAAAAAAACCCCACAGGGATATAATTTTCCTATGATGTGAAAAACTAACAGAGTTCTTAAAAGAACTAGCAGAGGTTTAAAAAAATTGTGAGTGCTGGCCCAGATCTGGGCCTCTACTGCTTACTTGGCACACTGATGCAAATCTGTACTGAATTCAGCAGCCTTGGCATCTTGATGGGCTCTCTGAAATACCTAGCAGTATAAGATTCATAACAAATTCCTTGTCTCTCATAGATACCACAAGAAGGTTGATTTGTAAGAGAAAAAGTTGACTCCAAGCAAAAGTCATTTATGAGGCCAGCTAATTCATTTGGTTTTTGTGTAAAGTGATTTGGTTTTCCTGCCTTTGTCACACACTCTCTCAGTTGAACACATTTTTTTTTTTTTTGCATTGGGTATAGCATCATTTTATTGCTAATCACTAAACACTTCTCTGATTTATTTACTTTGCTTAAAAAGTACCACATCAATTACTACATGGCTTGGTACAAGGCACAAAGTTGTCAACTCTGTGATGACATGAGAACACAGAATCAAGACATTCATTCCTCAAATCTGACTGCTGTCCCTCATAGTCATAAAAACACTAGCCTAGTAACTACTTTCAGTGAAGAAATACTGGCTGTACCTCATTTTATAGAAGACACAATGATTTCTACTTATTCTAAATATATATTTCCATTGTCTAATTTGATGGATTCCATAGTTAACTATCTTCCTTGAATTAACTTCCCCTTACAAATCCGCTTAAAAATAAGTGATCATTTATAGTTTGAGCAAACTATTTGTGTGAATAAAACAGGAATGAACACATTTTTGCTCATGGAAACATGTCCAGTCTACGTCGGGAAAGGATGGAGTTTACTGAGGTCTAGTAAAAAGCCCGTGTTCTAGAGGAAGTTCTTATACTTTCAGAGCCTTGGGGGCTTGCCTCATTCACTTTCATGAGACTAGACAAGAACAATAGAAACTCTGGGAATAATGAAGAATGGAATGAGAAAGGCAGGGGTTCAAATATTGTCCAACAGTCAGAGAGATTTAGTCACAAAACATACCGGAAAGAATGACCTAGTAAATAGAGTCTAATGATTGTCTCAGTATGTGCTAATTAACTTATCTGGGAAGAAGATTCATCCTGGTTCTCTTGAATTTTTCCCAGTATGTATCAGATTGAGCAAAGATGTAAGAATCAGTGGGAATGAGAAATCAATAAGGGATTAATTTTTAAACTTCCAATACCATTTCCCACAGACTTGATGCAGTTAAAGGAAATGTGGTATGGAGATTTCACAAAATAGTCACCTTTGTCTAATGTTCCCTACAAAATACCTCAGTGGGAGGTTCTGAGACATTGTAACTACTACATGAATAGGAATTCTACTCCAAGGAGGTTGCCTTGAAATATTGTTAACCCCAACAACAAATACAACAACAACAAAGCATTTATGTGCCAGGTCTCTGCTAACTGCTTTATCTGTAATCTTTTTCAGAGGATCATTCAACAAGCTAAATGCTACTAGCATGTTCCCAGAGGTCAGGGCAGGGTGGCCCCATCTTCTAATAATCTGATGTTGGTAAGGACTTCCTGACAAAGGCCATTACATTGGTTTTCATTGTATCTTGTTCTCATCACAAAGACATGACCAGAGAGTAGAGATTGACTTCTTAATTTAGAAGACAAATTCTAAAGGCCAAGATCATGTTAAATCACAAAAAAAGAACAACAAAAATTTTAAAAGCCATTTTTTTACCCCCTAGGGATTGGTCCCCTTGATAGGAAGTCAATTTGCAAAATGACTTTATTGGATCCTTCTGATTTTGTAAACCTGTAGTCAGGATTTTGGCTTTGTGAAGACGGGATAAAAGGTAGAAGTTAGGAAGGCATGGAGAGGCCCTGATTAATTCTGATCATTTGGGATTGAGGCAGAAATATTTTTCCCCTCAGATTCTAGAAACTATTTCCTGGTTAATAATATTAAGTTATATCTGGCAATGATTTAGCAAAGCATATTTTACTTGAAGACCTGTGAGCTATGGACTCTGTCTTGAGGAATCTCATATGAGATTTCATTAAAAATTTTGTATGTATTACAAAGGTTATTTTTGTTAAAACCTGAATAAAGTATAGATTTTAGTTAAAAGTAATGCATCAGTATTGGCTCATGAATTGTGACAAATATACCATACTAATATAGGATGTTAATAGGGAGATTGGGTATGAGGTATATAGGAACTCTGTACTATTTTTCAAATAATTCTGTAAATTTAAACTGTACTTAATTTAAAAAATTTATTTAAAAAAAGGCTAGCAAGGTATTATATAATTAACCAGGCTCCTCCCCCCACTTGTTAAAAATAAAAATCTTTCATAAAAAGGCACATTTATCCTCACACTGAGACATACATATTGCCAATATTTCTTTTCTTGATTATAACAGGGAAGGAAAATGTAAGTATATACTTACCCTACTGTTGAATTAGGTGGTTTGGGCATCCTAGAATAAAAACAGGAAATAAATCCCCGTTTATATTAAAGATTTTTTAAAGCATATGTTCCTATTAGAAGAATAGTGATGTATCTCATTTTCAAACTACAGTGTCTTTAAGATAATATTCTCAATTGATGTTCTGGAACACTGAATATTGACCGGATAGAGAGATAGGATGTCCTCACATCTCAGTTCTAGCGACCAATCTAACTTCAGTCCCATTCAGCACCCATTTTGCATTTCCTACTTGCAGCGCATGTGCAGAACTGACTGTTTCTAACAATACCATGGTTTTGGTTCTGACATTCATCCTCGTAATCAGGCAATAGCCAAAGTTCTCTGTGGCAGCCTGACACCATGCATGTGGTGCAATTACATGACCTAAGGTGACCCGAGTGTGTCTTGATGGGACAAGATATATAAGTACTACGTGTGCTTTGTCCCTTTGCTCAGGATTGCTGATCTCTTGTGATAGTAAATACTGTCCAGATGCCAGAAAGGCTAGAACAAAACTGAACAAGTTCCTGGAGGCCTGGCTTTTCTGAATCAGCTCATTTGAAAGTTGTATACTTACTAATTACTCTGAGCCCTGCCTGCCAAGAAATAATACTGAAGCTGGGGAACAAAGTCCACATGCGAGAAGGACTGTCACCTACTTTTGTTGGATTCAACACTTAGTTTCAGCTGATGCAGACATTTCTGAAATATTTCAGGCATGAAAAATAAATACAATGATATCTGTTGATAGCAAAAATCTATAAAAAGGATTATAAGGTTTAATTTGTACATGTTTATTCAGAAAGTGGTATATAAGCCTTATAATTTTCTGAGTCTACAGTGTATTATAAACACATAATTCGCATTAATTTTAAGTTTTATATATTTATTTGGACTCCCAAGTTTGTAGGCTTGGAATTAAAAAACAAAAACACAAACATGTCTTCCAGTTATATTTGTGGTTGAGTTGGGGAAGGAGGTGGGGGGCAATGAATATGAAGAATCCAGGGGGTCTTGAGTTACTAGATTGGCTATGAAATATGAAATCAGCATCTGAAATTTTTCTCATGTGACAAATTAAGCTATGATATTGACAAGTAATACCTAAAATTTGATTCAAAATAAAAAAAAATTAAATAATTTTTAAAAAAATTGAGCGTTTGAAAGGTTGAATGAAAATTAAAAATGCTCATTGAGACCAGTTCCTTGATGTGAACGAGTCCATTATTTTACTGCTGCACTCTGCAGTTACTTTTCCAAGTTTACTGATCCCAAAGGAATAAACAAACAGGGCCTCACAACTACAAAATTCATGTCTTTTGGGCTCCCTCTCGTGGCTGAACTCTATATTAACATCCTTCCTAAAAGCAGATTCCTGACCGTTCTAATAGTTAAAGAGGTGATATTTTCATTGTTACTTCCGTGTTGTCAGTATTTTATTTTTATCTGAAAATTAAAAAGTATGCTTTTGTAATTATACAAATTGTTTCAAAGAAGAAAAAATAATTTATTATACTAGAAAATAATTCCTCTAAGCAAAGGATAAATTAAAAAGTATTCCTTATCTAAAAAGGAGACTTAGTAATTTTAGCACAAATTATTTGTAGATTGTCATAATGAACCACTGTCCTCATAAATCTTGATGAAAAAATTATGCAGAGCTGCTGGAGCATTTCCTATGAACCTTTTAAGAAATTTAATGGATTCTTACTAGACTAGGTCAGAGGCAGAGAAATGGTCCCAGGTGACTTGTGTGAATTCCTTTGAACATTGCTATTCCGTATTTTGTATTTTTTTCTTTTTAAATGTCACAAACGGTTAGTGGGTTTTGGTTTATTGTTTTATTTTTGTTTCTTTGGTCTTGGTTCCTATTATTAATGATCCCTGTTAAAGAATACTTGTTTTTCTAAAAGTTCCCATTTTGGGGATTTTATATTTCTCATACAACTCATTTTTACTTAAGAAAGTTATTTGGTCCAATATAAGAAAAAGAAATCCCAAACTTACAAAGAATCATTTCCATAGACGTCACTTTTTTTATTCTGCGTCAAATAATAGTATTGTTCAATAGGAAGTTTTCTGTAAAGAAAAGATTAAATTGAACATCTTTTCAAATTAACATAGTTATGAGCAGATAGTAAGAGACAAATAGACTAATACAATCATGTATATATGGAAATTTAGCATATGAAAAGGTGGCATTTTAAATTAGTGGAAAAGGATTTATTTTTCAATAAACAATGCAGGAAAGATTCACTAGCCATTTAAGAAAAGTAGATTTCTATTTCATCCTATGTTTAAAGATAATTTCAGATCGATTAAAAATGTAAAGAATTGAGAAAAACATACAAATATCAAAAGAAAATATACAAGAATTATGTTTTTTTTCTTCATGGTAGGGAAAACTTTTTTTTTCTTAAGCAGGCTCTATGCCCAGGGCAGAGCCCGATTCAGGCTCAATCTCACAATCCTGAGATCATGATCTGAACTGAAATAGTCTGATGTGTAACAGATTGAGCCACACAGGTGCGTCCCATGTGGTGGGGAAAACATTTTAACTTAGATTTTTCTTTTAAACTCAAAATCCAAAAGGAAATTTGATAACATCAGAAGAAAAACTTTTGAAGATAGGATGGAATAAAAAAGCTCAAAGCAAAGTTTGGAAGAAATTTAGCAATAAAGATATATAAAGGATTATCTAGAATATAACTAATAATCTATAACTAAAAGATAATAAAAATGGGCAAAAAATAAGAACAGAAAAGAGAATGTGAATGTCTTATGTATATTTTCCATGCATAAGAAAACATAAACATAAGTACTCAACCAGAGAAATGCATTCTGATAACCAAGATAACCTTTATACTTATTAGGTGAGCAAAAATTATAGTTTGATAATATAACAAAGTTGGCCAAGAGTATCGGGAAATGGATACTTTTACATTCTACCATGAGAATATAAAGCATTTGGGCTATTGTTCTAGAATTGAAAATATTCATATATTATGATCCATAACTTTCACTTAGGATTTTCCCTAGAGAAACATTTGTGTATGAGCTCAAGGAGGCCCATACAAGAATATTCATTACATATAGTTAATGCCAAAAAGTAAAGGAAAACAATATGAAAATGGCTAAATAGTTTATGATGCATCTATATTGTTGAACACAAAGAGAATTAGATAGATCTGTGTTTACAGTCTCTAGATTATACAGAGAAAAAAAAGAACCAAGTTGCCTACAACTATATATCCAGTGATTCCACACATAAACAATATAATACATTTATTTCCAGTGGGTACATGAATAATTATGTAATTGTGTAACAAAAGGTATGAAAGTAGACATACCAAAGTGGTAGCTGTGATTCCCTTTAGGAAGGAAACTGGGATTGGTGGGGTAGTGGTCAAACGAAACTAGACCTTGTGTTTGGTTTCTTTTTAGAAAGACTTATTTTTCTTCGAGCAGTTTTAGGTTCACAGCAAAGTTGAGAGAAGGTAGAGAGATTTCCCGTGTACCCTTTATCCCCACACATGCTTAGCCTCCCTCATTATTAACATCTCACACCGGACTGGTAAATTTGCTACAACTGATGAACCTACATCATTTTCACCTAAAGTTCATAGCTTACATTAGCCTTCACTTTTGGTGCTTGTAATGTTTTAATATACATTGTAGGACTCAACTGTCACTTGGGGCTCCTAGTATCTTTTAAATACCTATCTTTTATCTCATCAACCCAAGATAGATTCTAGAAAACTTGCTTTCTCACCCTCTGAGAATGGTCCTAGAGTGTGAAGGTTATTTTTACAAGAATGCTAACCAAGAGAGCCCTATAGTTGAGGATGTGTTTCGTAATTAGGTAGATTAAGTGACCAACAGTCTGGCTTTCTTCAGTTACTCCAGTGCTTGCTCCGTGGCTTCATAAACTAAGTTATCATGGAGGCAGGGCAGAAATTATGGATAGATTCAGCAACATGAACTTCTCATCAAACTGACCTGGCCACATCTGAGTTTGCCAGCAGAAGTTACTAAACCTACGTATTTCATAGAGAAAAATCTCCCTGGGTGTACTAGTGAGCCAGTTGGTGGGAGGCTGATTACACTGGACCCCTTCCATCATGAAAGAGATTATTTATCCCCACATGAGTAGATACTTAGAAAGATGGATTTCCCTTTCCTTCTCACTCTACATCTGCCACTTACTTCACCAGTGGACTTACTGAATACCTTATGCACTGCATGCCATCTGAAAAAATACAACTTTTGACTAAGGAACTCAATTTACCAAAAAGATGGCACTGACTGGATTTAAAGGATACTCTGGTCTTATCATATTTACAGAATGTAGACCAGCCTAATAAAGATTCATTTGTGGCTGAAGCTGTTCTCAAGAGTGTGGCACATGCTCTGAACCAGTGACCAATAAATGGTTTCTCCCACAGTTGGAATGGATGGTTTAAAAAATGAAAAAAATTTTACTTCCTTCTCAACCACTTGAGTTTTGCTGGTTTTGATGTCAAGGGAGAAATGCTTCATCAGGAAACACACTGGCTCCATTGAATTGGAAGCTGAACTGATGATGTGGTCATTGGGGCTCCTTATGATTGGGGAAAACAGGCAAGAAAAGATTATACCAAGTGGCCTGGGATGATTGATCCTGAATGTCAAGAGTAAGAAGACTGCTGTTATTCAATGATGGGGAAAAGGAGTATTTCTAGACTCTAAAGAATTTTTTGGACACCTCCTAGTATTGTTTCTAGTGGCATAAAGTTAATAGAATACTGGAGCAGCCATACAAAGGCAAAACCACTGACTGCTAGATCTCTCAGGAAGAAAACTGGTGGGGGGGGGAGCTCTATCAGGTAATGAACTCCTACCAGCTCAGGTGCTGGTTGAGGGCAAGGGAACTTGGATGTATATATAATTATATTAACATATATAGTATGTTTTAATATACTATAATATATAATTATATAAAGATCATAACACATTGATTATATTTCTATGTATTAACTAGTTTAATTCTTTTCATTCATCCTTTTCCCTTATTTCCTTATTACTCTATATAGGATATTGGTGATGGTTTACTTCATTAAGTGCACAGCTGAGGGCTATGAGGACAAGCTTAGGACTGAACTAGAGAGGAGAACATCACCCAGAGATCTTGGACTTGGAGCTGGATGCAGGACCTAATGCATCTAAACTCTTGAGTTTCCCCTTTTGGGGGAGGTGAGTGCATTTTCATTTATATGAAAAAGGCTTGCATTTTCTTATATTGGCAGCGATTCTCAAACTTTGCTACATGTTAGAATTACCTTAGGGATTTTCTTGAAATGCAGATTCTGTCTCAGTCAATCTGGGGTGGGGTCCAAGATTTTGCATTCACCATTTCCTAGATGCTGCTTGTCCATGGAACTCATGTTGAATAGAAAAGTGTATTATTTTTGTTGCTGCTGTTATTTAGCATGGCAGTCGACTGGCACAGATGGCTTATATCTTCATCATACCCTCTCTACATTTTGTTAGTTTCTCATACTTCATTTGCCCAGGAAGAATCCAGAAAACCTGCTTTCCAGCCTCCTGAGCAATCAGGGTGCAAATGTGTGCCCTAACCTAAGTTTTGTCAGTCATCCATATCTGCACTAGACTTTGATTTGAATGTGAGTAGCCTAAGAACACAGGCTTCTTTCTTTAAGAATAAAATAATATAACCAAGTTGTATCTCAATTTCAGTAGTTTCACTCCAATTTTTTTCTGTTACATTGTACGTCCTTTTGATTTTCAGATTCAGCTCTTAATTTCAAGGGAATACTAATAATATTAATACTGTGTATAGATACTTGTGTATCTCTGAATACCTTTTCTGTTAGATTAACTTGTTACTTGTTTTACTTGTTACATGCTCTTCCCTTGGGACATAAATTTTCCTTATGATAATTATGCTTGTTCTTAATAGCCATCACTTTTTTTTTTGAATATTTTATTTATTAAATAAAGAGGGCAGAGACACAGGCAGAGGGAGAAGCAGGCTCCATGCAGGGAACCCGACATGGGACTGATCCCAATCCCAAGGTCTCCAGGATCACACCCTGGGCTGAAGACTGTGCTAAACCGCTGAGCCACCCAGGCTGCCCAATAGCCATCACTTTTTAACTCTTTAATATCCATAACTTTTTTTCTCTGTCTTCTCTGTGATTTATTGTCTTTAGCCCATTATATCAATTTTCAGTGACATCTGTTCTGTTTCTTGCTGCTTCTTTTTGTACTAGATCTGTGAGTGCTTTTGTGTAGTTGTTTTTCTCATTTTTCCCCTTAGCCCTGTGATCTTCCCTTTTATAATGTTCTATTATTTAATCATCTCATTTTTTTATTGGATCACATACTTATTTTGTCCTTTTGTAGAGAATCTACTTATGTTTCCTGGGCTGTGTTTTTTCTCAGACTAGTTTCTTCATGTGTTTTATATATTAAAAAATATATTTTTATATATAGATATAATTTCATATTATATAGATATAATTTTATTATATATAATATAAAATATATTTATATATATAAAACATATTACATATGTAATATATATAATATATATGTGTGTCATATTTTTTCTTTTGTCTTCCTGGTTACAAAATCGCCTTACCACATGTTCTGTATTATGTGTGTTTACTTGGACAGCTCTGTCTAAACCCAGTTATTTGCTATGATATAGTGTGAGTGAATTCTTGATTATGTCATCTGAAATAAGTTTGCCTTTCTTCTGTGCTAAAAGCTTGATGACTGAATATTGTTGTTTTCATGTTTCTTTAGCTTGATGGCATGGAGGTGGCAGAGAGTAAGTGCTGAAACTCTATCAGATAGAATGCAAGCATTTTGGGTATACTCCCATCTAAGATCCTGTTAAATGTCCTCTGTAAAGCTCTTTCCTTTAAGTTAGGGAAGTAGCCATACCCTTGGGCTTCTGCTCATTCCCTCAAGTCAACACAGTATTCCAGAAGAGTACACGTTCTGTACAACTTTATCTCTCTTGAGATCTCGATGTTTTAAAATAGGGACTTCTACTCTTGAGTCTTTTTTCTATTCTAATAGGATTGCCTACACAGTTTAACCTTCTCTTCAAATTGGAGAATTATCAGGATTTTGTTGATTTACCTTGTCTCTGTATGCATTTGGAATATTGGAATGGGGTTAGATGTAGCAGCTCTCAACCAAAAATGTGGCTTTCCTCTATACCTCCAGCAGAGAGTCTGGGAGAGTCTGGAAATAGGCATGGCCAGTTTTATTTTGGTTGTCACAATGAATGAGACTGGTATTTATAGGGCAAGGGCCAGAGATGTTAAATATCTTGCAACGTATAGAACAAAGAACTGCCCTGCTCCAAATGCCCTCTTGAGAAGCAGTTAGGAGCTGAAATAAACTACACAGAAATTTCTTTCCTTGGCACATTTAAAACGAATGGCTTTAAGGTTGTTCTCCTTTTACTATTTGGGGGCTGCTGATAATTTCCTATTTATTTCACTTTTAGGTAACAGGAGAGGGATATTCTGTGATTTTGTTTCATAAGCATTGACCTTCAAGCATTACCACCACCATCACCACTACTACTATCATTTTTCAAAATATTCTTTAGTTCACAGGACACTATATAATCTATTTAGCAGCTCTTTAACATTTGCCAAACATGTTAGAGGAAGATCTAGTTCCCTTTTATTTTCTTTAAATTTTATTCATTTATTTCAGAGAGAGCACAAGCAGGCAGAGGGGCAGAAGGGCAGAGAGAGAGGGAGAAGCAGACTCTGCTGAGCAGGGAACCCAATGCTGGACTGGATTTCAGGACCCTGGGATCATATCTAAAGGCAGACATTTAGTCGACTAAACCACCCAGGTGCCCCTCATTTCCTTTTCCTTTTTATTTTTTTAAAGATTTTATTTATTCATGAGAGACACACAGAGAGAGGCAGAGACACAGGCAGAGAGAGAAGCAGGCTCCATGCAGGGAGCCTGATGTGGGACTTGTACCCGGGACTCCAGGATCACGCCCTGAGCCGAAGGCAGATGCTCAACCACTGAGCCATCCAAGTGTCCCTCATTTCCTTTATCTTAAAGTAAAAACTATGCTACTTTACCAAGCTCAGTAGTATTTATAGGAGTACCTGGATGGTTAAGCACCTGACTCTTGATTTCAGCTCTGGTCATGATCTCAGGGTCCTGAGATTGTACCCCATGTGGGCTCCAAGTTCAGTGTACAGTTAGTCTGAGATTCTCTCTCCCTCTGCCCCTGCCCTGGTTTTCACACTTGCTTGCATTCTCTCTTTCTGTCTCAATAAATAAATAAAATATTAAAGTGTTTATGGAAGTGCAAAGAGTTATAAATTATTACTTTGTAACTTCATTCTTCAAAGCAAATGTATGCTGGTTTAGGTGATGAAAACTTTGCTTGGAATTTCTGAAACTTGCACCTATTGTTAAGTAGATACTGTTAAAGTTCCTTCAAAAGAGTTTTTCTTAGAGAATGTCATAAAGTGTCAGAAGGAAGAGTGATGTTGGAAGGGGTACGCTGCATTGGAACATGTGTATATAAATGTATGTGATTATATTTCCATTAGTAAGCCATGTTCTTTTATGTTCTTAACATCAGATGACATATTGTAAGACATCTCACTAGACATTTAACTTAGAAGTAGGTACTTTCAGTTTACCGAGTCCTTTGACTGAGGGGTTGGTGAGGCACAGGAGTGATCCTGTTCCCCATGCATACAGTGGTGTATGTGTGGCGCCACAATACCCCACTGCACATGCCCTCCATGGAAAGTGGTAGGGCACGACTATCAGCACAAGCTTTTGTATGGATCAGATGAGGCCTGACCCCACAGACAGATGGAGAATAATCTGCTATTCTGTTTAAAAAGGCTCTTTTTGGGGAGAAAAGAAAAATACTGTGACAGACGTTATTTCCTAATAGGAAATAAGTAAAACCCTATCCTGTAGCTGTTTGTCAAGGGATATACTTTGTATCAGAAAGTAGGACTTTGCCTTAAATAAATTTTTAAGAGATAAATATGCCAAAACAGTAATATTTAACATAAAAGGCTGTGAAGAGAACAGAACACAGGAACCTGCATTTCTGAGGTGTGGATGATGGGTGTTCTAACTGGAACAACTACTTCATCTCCCAGTGGCCTTAGGCTGCATTCAATGAGGCACGAAACACAAACCTCCCATTTCAACCTGGGTTTCCCTTAAGAAACTCATCTTTGGCTCTCTTTTTTGCTCTCTGGAGTTCCATGAATACAATTCTGATCCTTTTAGGATGTTGTGCATTTTTTTAATACCTAAATTTTGAAGATAATAGATGTAACCTCTGTAAGGAGTCATACCTCTAGTATCTAGAACAATGCTTGCTGTACTCAAATTATTGAACAAATGAATATTTTTATTTTTAAGTAACATTTTGAATATTATTATTGAGTAAACAATGAATGGAATGGACAGATGAAAAGAACTTGCTTGAGCTTTGGAATCCAAGAAACGTGGACTCCAATTCCCGTTCCACAACTTCACAGTTGTCTGATCCAGGGAAAGGTACTGAATCTTCCAGGTGTCTCTCTGTATTGTAAAACCAGGATAACAATAGTCTCTTCACAAAAGTATTATAAATCTATTTATGTTATATTATAAAGTAAGTTCCATGAGAGTGGGGACTTAAAAAAAATCTGTTGGATGAAGCCATGATCTTGAGGCCCTTGCTATCTATAGTGTGTCAATATTTGCATCTTTCCAATTGGATTGACAGGCCTTTTCATTTGTCTGCTTCTTATTTCTTCATTGAGGCTTCAGGAAGGTTGTTGACTGCCATCTGTCATTATTTTGGCTGTTGCTCTTTTTTTTTTTTTAAAGATTTTATTTATTTATTCATGAGAATACACAGAGAGGAGAGAGAGAAGCAGAGACACAGGCAGAGGGAGAAGCAGGCTCCATGCAGGGAGCCTGATGTGGGACTCGATCCCGGGTCTCCAGGATCACACCCCAGGTTGAAGGCGGTGCTAAACCGCTAAGCCACTGGGGGCTGCCCGGCTGTTGCTCTTTCTATGGGCAGCTTGTCTTTCCTAATTTATTTTTTTTTAAATTGCTTTAGAACAAAAAACTAGTTAGCTAGATTGTTAGTATACTAGGTAAGCAGGATTGTTAGATAAAGCAGGAGCAGTAGGCTCTGTATGAAGGTGTGATAGATTGTATTTGAGTAAATTTCATAGTTTTTAAAAAATTTCATATTTTTAGTGAACAATTAATGTGACAATCTGCTGCTCAGATTTTTTTTGCTTTCTCCTCAGTTTTAATGTGTTTTGAATAAACTTGCTGAGTGACTTTTAAGAGTTACAAATGATTATTGAAATATTTTAATATTTGAAAATGGTGCCCAGCAGATTCTAATGACTAGAGATTGATGAACAAATTAGAAATCAAAAGTTCCAAAAACCAACCACATCTGTACAAATTAGGCCAGCTATTTGCGCAAGCAAAACATTTTTAATTTAATGTCTCTCAGGAATAGTCCCATTTAGTTTTAGATAAAATGTGATTAGCAAGGGAATTAATCAAAATTTCTGATTGCAATACTTAAACATCTCTAAGGATACCAAAGACATCCATAAATTCAGATTTTTAAAAAATTATTTCACAATTAGAAGTTATGTAATTAGTTTTTCCATCTGCATCTTGTCATAAACAGTAAAAGTAGTAAGTGTGGAGGTAGATTTAATTTAACAAAGGACTTACCATACAAAGAAAGAAAAATGAAAAATAAAGACCTCTCTGTAAAGGGCAGAAAGTTACTTACCTCGGCCAGGTTTCTCCACCAAATCCGTAATGTTGATGTCCTTTGCCCATGAAACGATATTTTGGCCTGTGTTCCTCTGGGAGTGAAATGGGTATTATCCCACCATATTCCCTTTCAGCACCCCACGGAAGTCTACATTGTTGAAGTGACTCCCTTAATTCCTGATACCTGTGAAGAAGGAGACTTTTGAAATCATTTCAACACGGAATGCTGTGGTCAGAATATTTTTGTATCCAAAATTCATATACTTAAGTCCTAATGCTCAATGTGGTGATACAAGAAAGTGGGGCCTTTACTCAGTGCCTAGGTCAAGAGAGTGGAGTGTTCATGAATGGGACTAATGCTCTTATAAAAGAGACCCCAGAGGGTCTCTGGGTGGTTCCGTGGTTGAGGGTCTGCTTTTGGCTCAGGGCATGATCCTGGGGTCCTGGGGTTGAGCCCCACATCAGGCTCCCTGCAGAGAGCCTGCTTCTCCCTCTGCCTATCTCTCTGCCTCTTTCTGTGTCTTTCATGAATAAATAAAAAAAAAAAAAAGAGAGAGACCCCAGAGAGCTCGCTAGCCCCTCCTGCCATATGAGGACACAGCAAGAAGGTGCCAGCTTTGAACCAGGAAGAAGGCTTTCATCAGAATGGGACCATGCTGGCATCATGATCTTGGACTTCAAGCCTCCAGAACTGTGAGAAATAATGTTGTTTATAAGAAGCCACCCACTCTGTGGTATTTTGTTATAGCACCCCAAACAGATTAAGACAAACAACTAAAATTCCTACAGCTTCAGTATTATTTTTAGATTGCATTTTTAAAACAGAATTCTCAGTGCCGAGTAGATTATGAGAAACACTGGTTATTTAGGCATCATCAGATTGCTGAAGGAACAAGGTTAAATTCTTGAGGGCTTAGAGATACCCCCCCCCTTTTTTTTTACAGTTGGAGTCCATGTGCTTATTTCTTTTAAACATCTTTATTGAGATATAATTTACATGCCATACCATTCATCTACTTAAAGTGTACAATTAAGTGGTTTTTAGTATATTCACAAATATGTACAACTACCATCATAATTTTAGAACATTTTCATCACCTCAAGAAGAAACCTTATACTCTGTTTGCCTTCATTTCCCCACTTGCCCTTCCCCCAAAGCCCAAAGCCACCACTAATCTACTTTCTTTTTTCATATAAGCCTTCCTAGTACATTTGTAGTAGTAGCTCTTTATGGTTTTGATTTGCATTTTCCTAATGACTAATGCTGTTGAGCATCTTTTTGCTTATTGGCCATTTGTACATATTTTTTGGACAAATGTCTATTATTCAGATCCTTTGCCATTTTTAAATTGGGTTCTCTTTTTATTACTGAGTTGTAACGCTTCTAGATACAAGTCTCTTCTCAGATATATTATTTGCAAATATTTTCTTCTACTTTATATGTTGTCTTTTCATTTTCTTGGTAGTGTCCTTCGAAGCACAAAAGTTTTTAATTTTGATGAAGTTCAGTTTATCTATTTTTTATTTTGTTTCTTATGCTTTTACTGTCAAGAATATAGTGCTGAATCCAAGATCATGAAGATTTACCCATATGTTTTCTTTTAATAGTTTTTATAGTTTTAGCTCTTACACATTTAAGTCTCTGATCCATGTTGATTTGTTGGTGTGAGATAAGGATACAATTCGTTCTTTTAACCAGCTGTTCTAGCACTATTTGTTGAAAAGAATATTCTTTCTCCATTGAGTAGTCTTGGCTAGAGATTTTTTTAAAATTTAAATTCAATTTAATTAACATGTAGTGTATTATTATTTTCAGAGGTAGAATTTAGTGATTCATCAGTTGCATATAACACCCCATGCTCATTCCATCAAGTGCACCCTCCAGCAACCCTCTGTTTCCTATCTTTAAGAATCTCCTATGATTGTCTTCCTCTGTTTTCATCTTATTTTTCCTTCCCTTTCCCTATATTCATGTTTTGTTTCCTAAATTCCACATAGGAGTGAAATCATATATTTGTCTTTCTCTGACTTACTTTGCTTAGCATAATATCCTCTAGTTCCATCCATATGGTTGCAAATGGCAAGAGTTGATTCTTTTTGATGGTTGAGTATTTTCAATATCCATTCATCTGTTGATGGACATAGAGATTGTCTTTTGATTTTTTAAAAATGGAGAGTCCTGTAAAGGAGCAGAAGCACTTGCTCCTAAGCTTTATCTAGAGATCCTGTAATGGTTCTCAAAGTGTGGATCATGGACCAGCAGCATCAGCATCTCTCTCTCTCTCTCTCTTTTTTTTTTTTTAAAGATTTTATTTACTCATGAGAGACACACAGAGAGAGAGAGGCAGAGACACAGGCAGAGGGAGAAGCAGACTCCATGCTGGGAGCCCGACATGGGACTTGATCCTGGGTTCCCAGGATCATGTCCCAGGCCAAAGGCAGTGCTAAACCGCTGAGCCACCTGGGCTGCCCTCTCTCTCTCTCTTTTTAAGATTTATTTATTTGAGAGAAAGAGAGCACACCAGGGAGTGAGGGGGTTGAAGAAGAGGGAGAGATAGAATCCTCCAGCAGACACCCTGCTGAGTATGGAGCCTGATGCTGGCCTAGATCCCAGCACCCTGAGATTATGACCTGAGTAGAAACCAAGAGTCAGACCCTTAACCAACTAGCCACCCAGGTGCCCCAACGTTGACATCTCTTAAAAGCTTACCAAAGGGGCACCTGGGTGGCTCAGTGGTTGAGTGTCTGCCTTAGGCTGAGGCTGTGATCCCAGGGTCCTGGGACCAAGTTCTGCATCAGGCTCCCAATGGGAAGCCTGCTTCTCCCTCTGCCTATGTCTCTGCTTCTCTCTCTGTGTCTCTCATAAATAAATAAATAAATAAATAAATAAATAAATAAATAAATAAATAAATAAGTAAGTAAGTAAATAAATAAAATCTTAAAAAAAAAAAGAAGCTTACTAGAAATATAAATTCTCAGGCTCTCCCTCATAGCTAGGAATCAGAATGTTTGGGGGTGGGCCCCAGTAATATGTTTTAATAAGCCCTCTAGATGATTGTTATGCATGCTAAAGTTTTATAAAAGCATTGCTCCATTCCACAGTTACCTTTCCTAGGAATCAGGTCTCATCCCTTACAACTGTACCATTCAGTGGACTGGAGATGTGGAAATTTCATAAATTGGCTGGTAGGCCTTAGTTTGATCTTGAAAACTGGTAATTCAGATGACTTTCTCTGGTCTTTCTTAAGAGGGTGGAAGGCAGGGAGTCTAACCGGTTCACTGTTGTAAACATGCTTTGTAGGAAGTAGTGATTGGAGTATGTTGAATGAGTGAAGCCAAAGAGATGGTTTGTTTCCTGGACCATAGCCTGTCACACAGGAATGAAAGCTTCTTCCTTAGAAGGAGGTCTCACAAAACACTTAAGAATATGTGGAAATGTGCTTCCTAATTAGCAACGAAAAATGACAAAAAATGACTCCCAGTTTCCAGTAATGACAGTCTAGATTATTTGGACTATCCTTTCCACTGAAAACAACCAAAAGTGCTGAAAAGGGAGCTTCAGGTTTGGTAAATAATACATGGAGATGTGGAAGAGAGTAGTACATTTAGAGAGCATGGAAGCACCATGCGTATTTCAACATACCTTGCCCTATGCATCTTTTCCACCTAGCTGTTTCTGTGTTACATCCTTTTACAATAAACTGGTAATCTATCACCAAGAGATGAACAATATAATACTGTACAGAACAAAGAAAAATTGATTCGTCACAGTTTCCATAGCACAGCAGAAAGGGCAAGTCACCATAGACAAGGACTCTGTCATACTCACTACAGAATCCTCAGGATATAGCATAGTGTCTTGCAAATATATAATGCCTAACAAATATTTATTGACTAGGTTATTTTCCTTGAGAGCAGACAATGAGATGAAAATCTTAAAAAGGGGATTAATTACTTTGGATTAACTTTTCTTGGAGAAGTATAATTCTATTTCTGTTTGACCTTATTGATTTACCTGGAGAAGACAGACCAAAAGCATGCAAAAAGGAAAAAAGAGAAACATCTTTTAAAAAGCAACTCGTTGTTAATAAGACTAGAAAGAGTTACCAGAGCTCCATAAGAGGAATATAGGACTCCAGAGAGGTAAACAAAAAAAAGGAGCCACTTTTGCCATTAGGGCAGTGTCAACTCTTGGAAATTTCATTTCTGCTGTAAGAGGTCGCTGGGTGAAGGGTACAGAAATCAGCCAGGTGAGAAATCTAAAGGAGACTATCTCCACAATAAGCTCCAAAAGGTTACTCTTCCATATTAAAGATAAGTTAGAAGTAGACCACCTCTCTTGTCTTTTGCCCAGATTTGTGTCAGCCATGACTTGACCTTGGTTTTAAGTGGTCCAAGATAGGTAGTATACCACGAGGCACCTTGTAGAACCAACAAGATTCCTTTCTGGAGGAAGGACTCTTGGGGGAAATCACTGTTTACGATGAGTTCTAAAGAATGAGTAGGACATCTAGGTGGGGGAATAACATGTCAAAGGCATAGAGGTTAGAAAGGTTATGGAATTGAAAAAATTCCTGACAGTGTTGGCTCCAGAACCCTTCTTTAGAAAGGATCTGTTTTGTTTTATAAAATATTTTGTTAGGCCACTTGGTATAGAGATTGAGAGTCTGCAAGTATGGGTGTTGGTAAGACAGCGAGCAACCTAAGATTGACTAAGCTGCCTTGCAGTGGGAAGGATTTAGTTTTTTGCTCTTGTGAGAGGAAAATGAAAGAAAAGTACAGTAAAGGGAGATGAAGAAGGGACAAGTCAGCAAGATATTAGGAGGCTGGGTACTGCACTGAGTGAAAAGCTAGTGAGGAACCCTGGTGACAGCTGGGCTCAAGAAATTTTGAGAATACACAAGTGATGGCTAAGAAGGGGCCTTAAGTTATGTGTTATACAGTGTCATGTGATTCTTCCTTTTGACCCCTAACTGATCAGGGAAGTTTAGCAGGCTCACAAATGCTGTGTGGATAAGGTCTTTGGAGGAAACTGGAGGATGACTGTGTTTCACAGCTGGGTCAAAGTGTCATTGAACAGAAGCAGCATAAGTGAAACCAAAGGAAACCAAAACAAGGTTATTAATGCCTACCCCCACCCCTATCCTAGGAATGTGGAAAGTTTTGAGGAAGGCTTTAGACTTCCAGAAGGTACAGAATAAAGATTTGAGTGGAACTTATCTAGATCTTAAGGGCTAAGAAAATGGGGTTGAATTTTGGACTAAATCCATAGAGATGATACAGAATTCAGGAATTTGCAGTAGCAGAGAAGAGCTCTGTCTGGTAAGGGGTGAAGCAAGAGAGGAGAACAACAACAATAGCTGAGAACCTTAAGAGCCCTTTGGATTATAACGTCTGTGCAGTAGGGAGCCAATTAGAAACATGGGAGAGGAGTGCAGAGAGAGGGGTGGTATGGACTGTGGAACATCTTAGTACCAACAGAGCACTTGGTTTAATGTAATCCTTCTGTAAATATCTGCTGAATGGAATAAAGAACTAACACTGTCTTATAAACGGAATGCTTTATCATAGGAAGTCACTAATTAGGAGTTGGCAAACTATGGCTCATAGGCCAAATCCAACCTGTTGCCTGTCTTTGTAAGAAAAATTCTATTGGAATATAACCACTGTCATTCATTACGTATTATCTATTGTCTATGGCTGCTTTTTGCTGTGCAATAGTAGAGTTGAGTAGTTTGACAGAGACCAGCCTAACATACAGTTGACTCTTGAATGATGTGGGAGTTAGGGGTGCCAACCCTTCATGCAGGTGAAAATCAGCATATAACTCTGGACTCACCCAAAACTTAACTATTAATTGCCTCCTGTTGATCAGAAGCCTTACAGATAACATAAATAGTTGATTATACTATTTTGTAATAGTGTACACACATGTGAACACAGATATTTTGTATGTTATGTGTATCATATACTGTATTCTTACAATAAAGTGAGCTAAAGAAAATGCATTTATATTACTGTACTGTATTTGTCAACACAAATCTACATGTAAGTGAATCCATGCAGTTCAAACCTGTGTTGTTCAATGGTCAACTGCATTTGCTATCTGGCCCTTTATAGAAGTTTACCAAGCTCTGCACTTGCTAGTCAAGGACAATCTGGGTGACCATTGATTTAGGGTGCTGTAGAAGGGATGGCAGTATTCAACTCTTAGACCTCTGAGGTCTTCACCAGCTTTATGGCGATGATCAGTAGACATGGTATGAAGGGCATGACAAGTGAAAAATACTTAAACACATTTGATTTATGACAAGCTAAGCTTTAATATCTACGTTTTAAAAAGTTATATTTAAATTAGATGAGTCAATTTCTCAACATCTGACCTCCATATATTACATTGTCCTAGGAAGATGAGCCAGTAGATAATGTTAATCAATCATTTGGGTTGGCATCCATCTAAAGCTAGTAAGTTGCAGGAAACCATTTAAAATAAAAGGCAAAAGCATAAAGAAGTCCTATTTCTCCTTTATTTTAGTGTCTCCCATACCTCCCCCCTTAGCTTTAATACTAATAGCATCTTATAAAGGGAATGAATTGAAATAAATATTGAAGTTTTAGAATTAAATGACTTGAAAGCTTAAATAATGCAGGTCTCCATAACAAAGGAAATAACAAATTGTTAGTACTGCAATTTCTAGCCATACAAAATTATTGTTACTTGTTTTTGTGATAGTTTTCCTATAGATGAACAAGCATCTTGCTCTGGAGTCACTATGGAACATTACATTCTACTTGGGGGGCTGAATTTAGCCAGTAATTATTGGAAGGCATGATTAAAGAAAAGCTCTGAACAAATATATTCTCATTTTTAGTTGGCAGAGGACTTGTAATAAAAAGAAATTCAAGAATCTGAAAGCAATGGAATGAATCCAGAAACCAAATGGGAATGTTTGATGAAATCTTAAGCAATTCTTAGGGCACTTCCTTAATTGATGTTTGTTTGCTTAATAAGCTAGAGAACTTGCTAGAGGTAATGACTTCCATGTCAACCGAATGGAAAACAGAGATAGACATCTGTCATGATTTTGAATAGCCGTGCCAGCCATTCTTAAATTTTCAATGGAAGAAATACAAAAGAATACCACTTACTTATTAATATTTTTAAAGAAGATCAAGTCAGAGTATATATAATAGTGACTACTATAATTGCTCCAAAATACACCAGTGAAGAAAGAAACTACAGTAAAAAGAATAACTGCCCTTTGGCCAATGGGTGAAAGCCAGAACTTTAATCCTGGCTTTGTTACTGTTTTCAATGCTTTCTGCTGGTCCAGTGGTTCTCAAAGTAAGCTGAAAACCTGAAAGTCCAGATTTCCTGGACCCGCCTCAGACCTTATGAGCCAGAATATCTCCAGATTGAGGCTAGGAATCTCTATTTTTAGAAAGCTGCTCATGTGGTTCTGAATGTGTCCTGTCTGCACACCTGTGCTGGGTAACAGTGGAGCTAGACTGCCTATTCTGAAAAGAAAGAGGTATGCTGATGTGAGGAAGTTATTTTGCATTGCAGTTAAAATGGCCTTCAGAATACCTATGATATTTTAAAAAAGGCATCTCCATAAGTACGGCCAAGTTTAAGAGAAGTAAATTGTTCTGTTACCAAAATGGAAAATTTGTTTTCTTTATGGATGTCCATGACTTCTAAATTATTTAGAGCTAATATACACTAGGATTCACATTCATCCTTACCACTATGAAGAGCAACCCCTAAAGGCCAGGAGCTTTTTGTCTTGTTTTGCTTCTTAAAATACCTTGAGGCTTGAATTGGGAGCTACAGCCTGACCTTGCTCTGAAGGTGAACCTCAGTACACACAGAGTAGGGGTACCAGTGTTACCCTGATGACCACTTTTCAGAGCAGTTCAGAAGAAAAAGAGAACTTCTATTTTTGTAAGCTGCCCAGCTGCTTTTTAAGAGGGAGTTAAAAGGAGGGGTTGTGAGAGTGCATGATCATCCTGGCTTTCCCTTTTGGGGACTAGGATAGGAAAAAATTCACATGGAATAAAAGGGAAAGCAAGTTTTAGTTATTAAGAATCAGGAACATGGCTGAACCTGCCTTTTGCTTGAAGTAGTTAGTACCTTATTGTAATTTATAGGTAACTGAACATGTGTTTAATTTTATAATCAGTTAATAAAACAATAAAATATTTTCTCAAAGATGCTTCTCTTAAATTTCATGCCATTTAAAAGGTTTTAGAGCCAATTATTAACCAACCATAGGACTATTTAGGTAGGAGAGATAAAAATTTCAGTGAAAAGCCTTACATAGTACTTTTGAGAGGATAGTGAATTTAATCAGAGAGAACGGCCTTAAATTCCTACTCAGATCCCTTTCGGCCAAATATAAAATCTTACAATGCTTTTGAACCAGGGACAGTTGCCTATCCCCAGATCAGGCATGGTCTGCTAAGAGTTCCCTTTGACTCAGGTAGGAATTTAAGTACTCAAGTAGACTACTTTAAGTAGTCAGTTTTGGGAATCAGGTAACAGAAGAGCATGTGCAGCATGGGCTGACTCAGAAATGTCCTCTTTCCCACAAATATGCAAATATTCCTTTCATTGAGGGAAAATATCAGTTTACAAAAAATATGTTAAATATGATCTTTATATTTTCAAAAATGGGGAAGACACATGTCGAGATGTTAACGGTGGTTATTCTGGATAAAGGAAGTACAGAGGTTTTCTTCCTTGTGGTTTAATTTCATGCTTTTTCTTCTGTTACAAAAATGGAAAATTGGTTTTCTTTATGGATGTCCGTGACTTCTAAATTATTTATAGGGAACATGTATTAATTTTATAATTATGGGAAAAAAACTTTCTTCTTTTTTCATATAAAGAGCATGTTTACAAACTGGATTAGATCCATGGAAGTCTGATCAAGATATTTGTGAAAGCCTACATTTAAGAAAGTGTGAAGTCTGCAGAGAACCACTGTTTAGTCAAAGGATCTTCAAACTCTTGTTGAAGGGCTGCTGTCATGGAGGTGATAGATTATTCTTATTCCGCATGACTTTGGAGAGAAGAACTATGATCAGCAGGTAGAAATTAGGAAGAGGAAAAACTGTTCTCAGTAGAAAGAAAACTACCTAACAATCAATAGCATTCAAAATTGGGATGGATTGCCTGTGTGGTAGTGACACCCCCATTCTGGAAGTGTAAACTGAGTCTGGGTGGCTTCCTTAGTGATTTCTTAAAGAAGGAACTCTTAAACAAGAGGTTTGGCCATGTGAAATGATTAACAAAACAACCACATGGGCTATTTTTTCACTGTCCAAGTGTTTTGAGATAATTTTTTGCTTCAAAATTATTCAAGGAAGCTAGCACTAAGATCTTGGAAAATTACTTGCTTGTATCTGTTACTTCATTTGTAAAATGGGGATAATAATAGTATTATCTCATAGGGTTGTTGTGAGGATTAAAAGAATTGCTACATTCAAAGCATTTGGTTCAGGGCCCAGTCACAGTAATCACTCAATATCTGTTAGGTGCAGTTTTAATAATAATTTGTAATTAATGTGTTACAGGAAATTTGGTAAAGCAAAAATTTAGATAGCAACTATGAACAACAGATTCCAGGAGTGTTTTTGAACAGATGGTGTTAGGGGACGATAGAGAACCACTCTGCTACTCTTTATAAAATAAAAAGTTTGACTGAAACAGATGAATTTTCAAATGATGGAAGTGATCATTTTGGAGTTCTGGAATGTAGTGGATGAAACTGATGTCTGCCTTGTAAAAATACACACCCTCTTACTTTTGATCAAGTTCCTAACATATGTGGACAGTTTACAGGTGAGTTAATTGTCATGTTGTGCCATCCCTCTGATGTGATAAACGGAAGAGCCCCGTTTTTCCCACATATAAAAATAAAGGAATACATTAAAGCCCCTTTTAATGATTTATGTTCTCTAGTGTTTGTTTTACCTGTCCTCTGAGGCAGTTGGGCGAGCAGCTGTTTGTAGCGGGGTGTGCAATTCATTAGAGTAGAAGGTGTTGGACAGTAGGTCAGCCCCTTCAAGCTCTCTGCAACAATAGGGCCTGCTGTGAATGACCTCCATGGTTCTTTATATTAAGAAGGCACAGGCTGGAAGAGAAAAGGAGGCCACCCTTGGTTCAGTAGTCAACTTGCCTGGATCACTATCACAATGACCCTCCCTCAAGGAAGGCGGGAAACATCCTTTATGCTGCTAAATTTGTTCAACTCAACACTGCATAGAAATCCCTTCCTTCCTCACCTAGAGGCTGTCTATGGACCCTCAGATGATCACATCAGTAATAAGCAGCAACTTAAATTCTATGGAAATGAGCTTCAACCGAAAGAAATCCACAAAGCAGAAGATGATGTTCCTAAGTACAACCTAAACACCAGGTGGAGGACATGTAGGTTCACGTCCATAAAAGGCCACTCACTACTGCATGGACATCGACTGAAATTAGATTTTTGCTTCAAATTTTACCATAACTATTAAAGTTCTGCTGATTCCCACCCCCTCCCCCCAACTCGCTCCCTACTCCATCCAACAGAATCAGCAGCTGTGCTTCTCAAGGTGTCGGGGACCCGGAATGAGAGAAGCCTTTTGCAGAGAGGTGGAGAAGCGGCGGCCTAGCCCCAGGGGGATCCCAGAGGGCTGAGAATCCACCCCCCCCCCTCCCGGCCCTCGGGCTTGGAGGGGGGAGCCAAGGAGGCGCCCCGGTGGGGCCGCGAGCCCCGGGCCATCAGCGCGCGTCCTGCCAAGCGGTGACTCCGGGCTTCGGCAGCACCTGGACATTGGCCTGGGAGCGGCCCGGGACCGCGTCTCCCCTGCGTTCCCCAGAGCTGGTGGCCTCTGCGGGGGCCTCTGCGGGGGATCCCGCGGTCGTCCGCCCCTGCGGCCCGGGAGCAGGCGAGCGGGGGCAGGTGCGGGGGAGGGAGCGGGGCGCCGCGGGCCGGCGGGGGTGGGGTTGGGGTGCCTGTGACGGCAGCCGTGACCGTGGCACCAGGTAACGCATTTCTGGCGGGGGGCGGGGGGCGGGGGGCGCTCCGGGAGCCCTCGGCCGCAGCGACCCCGGGTCCTCGAACCGCCCGAGGTGCGCCCCCTGCTCTAGCGCTTTCCCCTCGTCCGGCCGGGCGCCGGGCCGGGATGGGGGCCAGCGGAGACCCTGGTGGCCGTCCTCCCCGCTCGCCCCCCCACCCCCCGCCGGCGCGGGCCAGGTGCGGCAGCACCCGGGGCGGCCTCGGAGGATGCTGCGCGCGCTGCGCCCGGGATGCGCCCCGGGAGACCCTGGGTGCTTCCTCCCCTGGGCGGGTGCGGAGCCGCGACCCGGCAGGTGGGCCACGGAGTCCCGAGGACCCCGCCCCACCTGGATGACCTCAGATTACCCGCACTCCTACTGCCCGCCTCGCCCCTTTCCCCCAGGAGCAAATGCGAACCCCGTTTCTGCACCTGCAGGGCCACAGTTTCGGGGGCGACTGAGGACTCGGCTCCCCAGAAGGATGGGGGTGTGGGGAGCTCAGGTTTTGGGTGAGGCTAGAACTGAGCCTGCAGGAGCACGGAAGGTTATGGGGCTAAGAGGGATTACCACCCTTGAGATGGGAGGTGTGACAGTGTCCTCATTCTCTGACTTGTTTGTTTGGGTTTTTTTTACAACTTTTAAGTCAGCTGACCAGTGGGTATTTATTTTGTGCTTGTGCCTTCTAGGTGAATATTAGCCGACATGAGGGAAAGAAAGGTGCATTGGAGTAGGCAAGGTAGTAGTTTTGTGTTCTTGGATCAGCTTCTTAGTCCCTACACCTGTCCCATGACTCCACTAAGTTTGCAAGAATAAATACTGCTGGAAACAGAGCTGTGAATTAGCCTTTATCTTTCACCCCTTTATATATCCCCCCTCCCCTCCCCCCCCAAAAAAAACCTTGTGGAAGTCCATCCTAATTTTTTTTTTTTTTTTTTGCCTTTTTGTTGCTCTGGGGTTTTCAGGATTTCCCTTTAAATTCCTTCTCATTAAATTCCCTATCAGCTCAGCCTATTTCCTGTGCTCAGCCTTGCAGTAAATTCCATATTCCACCTTTCTCTTGTGCTTGACCTTTGTCCCTCTTCCTTACGGTTTGATTCTTCCTGGGAAGTAATGAGCATAATAGATTTACTCAGGCATATCTGCTGAACCTGCATCACTAGCCATGTGCTTATATGTACGTGGACGGTTGGGATACCAGGGAAGTTAGGGCAACAGTGGGTCAATTGGCCGGGATATGTGGTGATCATCTCCAGGTTCTAGTGGGCTTGAAATTTTATTTTCTGTCAAATGGAAGTAAAGGGTAGGAGAATATAATTACTTATTTTTAACTTTGCTATTCCCAAATAAAATTTATAGGCAAGAAAAAGATTCATTGTCAGATCTTTGTAAAACAAGTGTTTTCTTTGGAAATCCTTTCCTATCTGGAAGGTTTTTGAGGATGTCAGGACTGGGTGTACTTGACCATGTCCTTTATTCTAGGCTTTCTTGACTTAGCTCACACTGCCTCAGCCATCAGGTAATATATGTATGTGACCTCAACAACACAAACTAGACACCTACCTAGAGGTGCTCAAAATAAATTTGAGATTCCTTAAGGTATGTCAGTACCACCAGGGGAGTCACTAAGGTCAGATAACCTACGTTTTGACATGTTAATCTCTCCTTCATCACCCCATTTACCTTAATGTATTCTTTGAGTCACCAGTAATCCTTCCAGCAGGGAAAATGAAATTTGGGAATGAAAAAAAAATATGCGTAGAATATTGTATCTGAGTTGACAAAAATTTCAAACACTAAAGATAGACCTTTAACCTTCAAGGAAATAATATACAGGAAGTATATGATCATGTATACTATCAGTTATACTCTATAACCTTTATTTTAAATGTTATAGAGGTTTTTTAACTAAATGGTATTTGATTATGAACCAAATATGGTTTTGAGGGATCTGGTACTTCTTGGCAGATAGGAGTATTTAAAAAAACTACCCCCGCTCAGTTTTGAAATAATTGACATAATATTGTATAAGTTTAAGGTGTACAACATAATGACTTCATATATGTATATATTAGGAAGTGATTATCGCAGTAATTTTAGTTGTTAGCATCTATCACCGCATATAGTTACAAAAAAGACTTTTTTCTCTTGTGATGAAATCTTTTAGGATTTGCTCTCCTAGCAACTTCAGATATACCATACAGCATTAACTAGTCATCCTGTTGTGCATTACATGCTAGTACTTGTTTATTTCATAACTGAAAATTTGTAATTTTTGATCACTTTCACTTGATTCTCTTATTTCTTACCTCCTGCCCATGGCTGCTACAAATCTGATCTCTTTTTCCATGGGTTTTGTTTTGTTTTTTTGTTTTTTGTTTTGATTCCACATATAAATGAGATCTTACGGTATTTATCTTTCTCTGTCTTATTTTACTTAACATAATGCCCTCAAGATGCATACATGTCGTCATGAATGCGGGATGTCTTTCTTTTTTATGACTGAATAGTTTTCCTGTGTGTATGCATGTGCCACATTTTCTTCATCAATTCATCTGTAAATGGACACTTAAGTTGTTCCCATGTCTTGGCTGTTACAAGTAGTGCTGCAGTGAACACGGGGGTACAGATATCTTTTTGATATATGATTTCATGAGTATTTTTTATTTTATTATTTTTTAAGATTTTATTTATTTACTTATTTATTTACTTATTTATGAGAGACAGAGAGAGAGAAAGAGAGAGGCAGAGACACAGGCAGAGGAAGAAGCAGGCTCCATGCTGGAAGCCCGATGCGGGACTCCATCCCAGGACTCCAGGATCATGCCCTGAGCCAATGGCAGGTGCTAAATCGCTGAGCCACCCAGGGATCCCCTCATGAGTATTTTTTAAATGGAAAAAGTTTGACTCCTATTCCTTTCCTAGAAGATGGGTTGGGAAGTCTCTTTCAGTGGCTGTAAAATATAAGTTAAAAAAAAAATCACAAAACTTGAAAACCTCATTGTATATATCCTACTTATTAGGATGACAATTAAAAATACATCTTTCACTGGCTTTAAAATTAAAGTGATTACAATTGAATTTAGTGACGCTTTAATTAATAGTAAATTGAGTTTTTTGCCTTGAGTAGCTAAGGAACTATGTAGTCATTGAAATGACATAGATGCAGACATTTGTAAAATATGCTTATTTAGTAAATAATCCCTAGTTGGCTGGAATGTGTCAGGGATTGTCCCAGGGCCTGTGGTCTCTTGGGGATATGGAACCAGGGACCAGTTAAAATCCAAGGTGGTAGGTGGAGCATTGAGAGGCAAATACTCTTGCGCTTCTAGCCCTAAGAATTATGGAAATGAGGACTGTAGTAATGCTGTATGTTTTTTTTTCCTAGCCTAGTGGGGCTAGGTTCCAAAGATGGCCCCCAGTGAACCACAGCTCCTGCTATTAATGCTCATGTGTCCTTCCCACATATCTGTATGGGTTGATCTGTGACTCATGTTGACCACTTGAATGCAGTGAAAATGGTGCCATAACAATTCTAGACCCAGTCGTTAAGAGGGCTAGCAGCTTCCTATTTATCCTTCTTGAGACATTTGCTTTTGGGAACCCTGAACCACCATGAAGTAGGCCTGACTACCTTACCGGGGGGACCCTGTGAAAAGATTACATGAAGAGGGAGACCCTGTTGTCATAATGTCCCTGTTATCTGAAGAGATGACTCCAACCCCACCCGTAATCTGACGGCATCCACATGAGAGGCCCCAGATGAGACCAGCAGAAGAACTGCCCACATGATCTCAGTCAATGCACAGAATCACAGGGCAATAAAACAGTTGTCTTTGGGATCCCTGGGTGGCACAGCGGTTTGGCACCTGCCTTTGGCCCAGGGCGTGATCCTGGAGACCTGGGATCGAATCCCACGTCGGGCTCCCAGTGCATGGAGCCTGCTTCTCCCTCAGCCTGTGTCTCTGCCTCTCTCTCTCTCTCTCTCTGTGTGTGTGACTATCATAAATAAATAAAAATTTAAAAAAAGATGATTTCCTAAAGAAAATTATAAAAACAAAAAACAAAA